CTGGTCTGTTCGTCCGCTTGCGGTGCCGTGGTGGCCCATGTGGTGCCATGGTGGCCCATGCGGTGCCATGCGGTGCCATGGTGGTCTGTGCGGTGCCATGCGGTGCCGTGGTGGCCCATGTGGTGCCGTGGTGGCCCATGCGGTGCCATGCGGTGCCATGGTGGTCTGTGCGGTGCCATGCGGTGCCATGGTGGCCCATGTGGTGCTGTGGTGGCCTGTGCACTGCTGTGCATGGCATGGTGGCCCGTGTGGTGCCATGGTGGCCTGTGCGGTGCCATGCAGTGCCATAGTGGCCCGTGCAGTGCCGTGGTGGCCTGTGCACTGCTGTGCATGGCAAGGTGGCCCGTGCGGTGCCCTGGTGGCCTGTGTGGTGCTGAGCACAGCCTGGTGGCCCATGCACAGCGTGGTGGCCCAGCTTCCAGCCCCACCTAGCGGCAGCCATGCCCGGTCCCAAGCTCTTCCTGTTTGTTCTCAGGCACATCCCAGTGGTCGCGAGCAAGCGGACAGGGTGCCTTATCTCCCAGCTACGAAGGGAGCCTCCACACTTTAGTAAGTGTCGCCGAAAGATCTGCTGCTTCTTTTCCATCCCTTGCGTGCCGGGCTTTTTGGTCAAGTGATAGAATCACAAAATGCTTTGGGTTGGAAGGGACCCCTAGAGCCCACCCAGCCCAACCCCCCTGCAGGAGCAGGGACACCTTGAACCACAGCAGGTTGCTCACAGCCCCGGCCAACCTGGCCTGGAATGTTCCCAGGGATGGGGCCTCCACCCCCTCTCTGGGCAACCCCTGCCAGGGTTTCACCACCCTCACTGGAAAGAATTTCTTCCTTAGATCCAGTCTAAATCTCCCCTCCCAAAAAAGTCTGGGGCCTGAAGGAAGATGGCTCGTTGGCAGATGGACATTTGGTTGGAAGCAGCTGAGCCTGGAGCCCGGCTGGCAGAGGCGCAGCCTTGCACCCTCCCCCTGTTCAGGGCCCGGTCGCATCCCCGTGGGTCTGGCCCAGCCGAACAGTTTGCTCTCTGGTTTCTGCCTCCCCTTCCTGAGCGGTTCTGCTTGTGAGAGCCCTTGTGCCTTTAGGGGGTGGCACCGACGGGGTCGGGAGGTTGTTTCTCCCCGTACCTGCCTTGCGGTAGCTGAGTGCGTGATTACCACCAGCCACTCTTCGGTGTCGAGAGCTGCAGTGGGCTGCTGGCTTTAACGCAGACCTATTTCTCTGTCCTCTCCTTCAAGCAAAACAAAATGGAAGACAGGTTGGACGAAGCCATCCACGTGCTGAGGAATCACGCCGTGGGCCAGACAGCCGCCATGCCGAGCAACCACGGGGACATGCACGGGCTCCTGGGCTCCCCCCCAGCCCACAGTGCCACCGTGGGCAGCCTGGGCCAGGCCTTCCCCGCCTCGGTCATGTCCCTGGGGAACAGGCACCCGAGTCTGGTAAGTGTGAAAGCATCGTGGCAGCTGGTGGGGACATGCTGGGGATCCACGTCCTGGGGTCCCCTGGCACCCAGAGGGACGTTTGGTGTGCGAAAAGCTCGGTGTGGTCCAGCCCAGATCAGCCCTTGACAGCCGTGAAGGGGCGATGTGCCCAGAAGCGCGGTGGCTTGCCGTCCACGGGGGGAGTTGAATCCACGCTCAGTGCAGTGGTGGCTCTTGGGCACAAGCCCTGCATGCAGCTCACTCATGCCCCTTCTTGGGGCAGGTAGAGGTGGTAAAAGCTCTTTTTTTTCCCCCTGCAAGATGGACAGAAATCCTTCAAAACAGCTTCAAGCCATCCCCAGGGGATCTGGTGCAGGGCAGGACCGTGGGTATAGAGTCAGGTGTCGCCAGGACTTCTCTGCTCCGAACCGTTCGGGTGGGCACCGCGTCCGTCCATGCACGTGGGGAGTGCTGTTGTGTGATGGCTCATTCAGGCTCTGGGAAACGCGACAGGTCCTGGGTGCCCTGAGCACATGGATGCTGGGTCACCAGGGTCCCCCCTTGTCCAGAGGCTGGTGACCACAGGAGCATGTTTTTGGCGGAGCTGGTTGCCTGCTGCAGCAAATGGTTGCGCGTCTCCGGTCTCTCCAGAGAACCAGACGTGCTTCCCTTCCGAGCATCCCGGGCTCTGCTTGGAAGCGATGAATGCAATGTGTGTCCTCAATTGCAAACTGCTGCCAGCTGCAGAAAGGAGCGTTTGCAGCAGGGCTGGCTCTGTCCTGCTGGTCCCTGGCCGGCGTAGCGCGGCCTCGGGGGGTGCGGGCTCCGAAAGGCTGCCTGACCCTCGCCCTTTGCATCCAGGCCCTTCGGAGTGAAGTTGACGCTGCTGTGATGTCCCCTGCTCTGGTGGCACTGGGGAGGTGGCAGAAACGTTGGTGCTTGGCGGAGACAGGACACGTGCAGCCCAGGCAGGGTGTCCTCTCCGGTCTGCCAGCCTCACACCCCGGCAGAGAGAGGTTTTTCCATGGCGGGGGGAGACAGCGCTGGTGGGGGCTTCCTGCTTGGCCCAGCTGCGGTGCAGGGCACAGAGCTGCTTTCTGCAGTGCCCCCGCCGCGGTCCCCGGAGGAGAGCTGCTGCTGGAGCAGGTTGGCCCTTCCCTCCTGCACGCCCCTGCTCTGGGTGCTGGGAGCGAGCGAGGAGGGCGTGCGGCTGCCCCTCAGCCTGGCCTGCGGAGCCCCCCCGGGCTGTGCTCGGGGTGCCTGTGCCCCTTGCCCACCGGCCGTGACACTTTCCCCCCTCAAGGCTTGCTCTGCTTGTTCTGCTGTAGGTGGGAGGAGGTCACCCCGAAGATGGGTTGTCCAGCAACCCCAGCATGCTCCACAACCATGTCACACTTCCGTCACAGCCCAGCTCACTCCCTGACCTCAACAGGCAGCAAGACACGTACAGCGGTAAGGCAGCTCTGCACGCGTGCACGCTTCAGGCTTGCCTGCCCCGGGGGTGATTCGGGTCCCCGCTTCGGTCCAGCTCTGTGCAGAAGCAGCCTAGGGGGGAGATGGGTGCTCTTGCAAGCTGGGTGCTTCCTCGTGGCATCCGCGGGGCAGTTTCTACCTTGAGCCTTTTCCAGAGGTTTCACCTACATGTTCTGTCCCTCCTGCCAGCTCTGGACGCGCGATGCTCCCAGGCCCTGCTCTGCTGGGGGAGGTTGGGCTCTGACTCTGGCGGGGCTGGGAGGTGGGGGGAGAAGAGCAGGGAGCGGTCATTGGGCAGAGCCAGCACCCCTCCAGCTCCTCTTGCTGTGGGCCAGCGATGCAGGATGAGTCCGGGATGCTGCATGCTGGCGATGCAGCGCAGCAGGAACCAGGCCTGGGGACCCCCCAGCCCTCCGTGCGGGTCAGGCCCCTCCAACCTCCATGTGCGGCTCTGTTTCCTCAGCAGGCTTGTCAGGAGGGCTGGGGCGAAGCAGCGTCTCCTCGGGAACCAGCGAAATAAGAGGGAAGAAGAAGGAGGATGAGGAGAACACGTCGGTGGCAGATAACTCAGAAGAGGAGAAGAAGGAGCTGAAACCCTCCCGGAACAGAACAAGGTGCTCTTTGAACAGGTCTCTCCCTTCACTTTGTTACCCGGCTGGGGGCGTTTGGGCTGGGGTACAGCCGCGGTGACCCACCAGGCGCTGGGCTCGGCCCGGTGAGGCCGGG